TAGATTCTAATATTTTTTTGGTACAAACTTTTTTGTTAATGAGAATATTTTAAGTCTTTTAAAATAGAAATCAAAAGTAAAAATTATACTTTTTATTTTTATAATATTTCATCAATTAGTTAATTTTGCTTATTTATAAATTCTAATGATTAAGATTAGAAAATTCTGAATATATTCACATACTAGAATATATTTCATAATAATGAAAATTATACAGACTATTGGAAATATTCAATTCTTTGAGTGTTAAGTTGAAAGAAGGTACTTTGAAAATTTTTATTAAATGATTAGACTTTATCTACAAATTGAAGTTTAAGTGTTTCAATACTCAAAATTTATTTAACAATATTTAAAATAATAATAATAATTTAAAATATTTAACTATTCTAGCATTTTATTATTTTAAAAATTTTTGGATAAATTATATGTTGGTAACACATTTATTCTTTTCAATAGCTAACTGGAATAATTCAAGATATGGTAGATGGGCAACCTCATTTTGATGAGATTTTAAAAGTAAGTTATTGAGAGATTATCCTTAGCATATATTTAACTTTCAATATTGGAAGTATTTTTTTAACTATAGTAGTCCATTTTTTAATGAAACAATAAACAAATTAAATTAGCTTTAATTTTTCTATTAAAAATGTTGTTGATTTTTATAAAATTTCAAAATTTTTAATTTCAAGCATTATTGTCAATAATGCAACTAATAAAATATTTTGAACTATTATATATCTTTTATATTTGTAACAATATTACTTACATTCTAATATGCAACTCTATTAAGATAAATTTATTTTTTTATATATAAATATCAGTTTAGTGATTAAAAAATAATAATGGCAAATTGACTAGTGACTTAGTTCAGCATTCCATTCCACATTATCTACTGATGCATGTTTTTTGTATGTATTTTTAAGATTGCTTCTGACAATTTTGTGTAAATGCTATTCCAAAGCTTCATATAGAAAAACCATTTAAACATTTAATTGCAAAGAAAAATAATAAAAATTTAGGTTTTGTAGCATCATCTTTTTATTTCATCCTTTGGTAATTTTTGTAGATTTTATGACACATTATCTTTTAAGTTAGAGAAACTTTTCCAAATGAATTCTTTTTTTCTTTTTGTTTAACTATATTCCCTGATTAGTGAGGATTCAATTAGTATAGTGATTTTCTGGAATGAATTAACAGACCTTACTAAGGTATCTCTGTATATACTGGATGATATCACTTACTCAACTGCTAAGTAGACAGAGTGCTTATGTTTTATCTTTACAAAATTAATATTGGATTGTATTTTTGTATAATTAGTGTAATGTGTTTTAATTTTTTTAATCACAAACTTAATGTTTATTTTTTGAATTTGTAATACTGAGTTCTGATGTTCAAAAAATGTTTTTTTGTTCAAAAGAAATAAAAGAATAAAATTTTTGTTCAAGTATTTCAAAAACTTCACTAGTGTGTTCATTTTTGAGATAGGTACTAGTGAAGAAACTCAACTTTGGGAATCACTGAAGATGATAAAAAAATTGTCTCATTGGTCAACACTAACAGAAACTTTGTCATTGCTGACTTTGACACTAAGAAAGATTAGCAACCTTCACATTTTCTGTTTAATAGCATTCAATATGGTGTTGTCCAGTTTGCAAGACCATATATTATAAAAAGATGAAAATTTCCAGAAAAATACATTATATACAAATTATAGTAATAAATTAACTAAGTAAAAGTAAGATTTATTTACGTTGTTTAATTCAAATCAAAGGCAGAAAACTGATGATTGACCAATATCTTAAACTAAGAGGTTATATATAGATATCCCTTGTATGACATGGTAGTTATGTTCCAAAAAAGTGCCATGTTATGCAAGTCTGTGCTATACAAAACAAAGGACTAATATAAAGCATGGGGTTAGGTTCCAAAAGTTAACAAATGAATGCTAATCTTTTTCATTACTAAGTGAAATATGTTTACTAAAGCAACCAGTAATTTATTTCCAATCAATAATTAACTAACAATCACAATTAAAAGTACTGTATTATGCATTAATATTAATTTTAGTTAAATGCCCTCATTTGGGCATTTTCTTTTTACAAAGTATTGTCATTTTCTGAACTTTTTTTGTTGATCTTGGTTAGAAATATCAATGTGTGTATTTTTTTTTTTTTAATTTTTACCATAAAAGATTTTTATGGATGACAAAGTAAAAATATATTATTAATCAAAAATTTGTTCTAGTTGGTCACATTTGTTCAATTCAGGACTGGGCAATATTTTTTCCAGAATTTGTGTTTGAATACCAAATTATTCAAGTTGGGAACAGTTCAAGTACCAATATAACACTATTTCATTTGTCATTTTTACAAATGATTACTTACCTATGGTTAAAATAAGCTTAATAAACTTTACTAAATTTGAAGATTAATGTATAAAAACAAAATACACTGATAGTCTTAAAGGCTAAAATCGGAAAGCAAAAACAACGACACCTGGTTGATAGGAAAGTCAGGACAAAGAAGAAAAAATTGTACCAATAGTTTTCCATAAAGTAAACCTGATGAAAGGCACAAAATAAACTGAAAATCCATGTTCTAAAATCCATGGGCAAATTTGAGATAACATGCATGTTTATTTGAATAAAAGGAATATTGAATAAAGCAGTTTGCACTTAAAAGTTGTGAAATTTTGTATAAAGAATTTCTCAAATTCTCAAGCTGTGTTAGAGCAAAACCAGAAACCATGTTGTATGGGAATTTCCCTAATTTTTGAGCCATGTTGTATGAGGGATACCTGTAAATAAAGATTTCTGTAATGTCAGTCTCAGTTGTATATTTAACTTTATATATATCCTCATTTTTATGAATTAGTTACACAAAAATGCTTATAACTATTGATTATAGATACCATTTTATTAAGCAAAGTTATCTAGTGGATAAGTGAAATTTATCACTAGCAAATTAAGCAAAGCACTTATTAACTGAAAGCAACCACAGTTGAACATCCATATAATGAATTGCCATCAGGAAATGTGGAAAATTTATGTAAAAAAATTTGTTAAAATAGGAAATACATTGACAGTAAAAGGAAAAAATTAAATGGGTAATGATCTATTTCCACAAAACTATATCATTGTTTGAATTGTAATTTTCCTTTAATATTTAAGCATAATTAACTTTATTGCACTAAACTCTGTATTACACATCATTTAATTAATGATGATATATCAATGTGGATGATATATCACTGTATGGTCAAGATGCAGAAATTGTTATTTTATTTTTAATCAATTTAAACATTTATTCATCAAGCTTTCAAAATATCATTATGTAGATATTAAACTTCATTAAATAGGGATATTTTTAAATGTAAAAAAGATATACTTTTAATATTTCTTGAAGAGAGATATTCTTAGTGTAGAACTTTATGTGGAAGTTTGACTGTATTTGATAAATGCTAAATCATAACTACAGTCGACCCCCTATAACACGGTAGATACGTTCAGAGTTTTATGAATCCAGCTTCTAGGAGTCTAGCCAATCACAGCCCGGCATGTATGCAGTTTACGGACTACGGCTGTTTGAAAGATTTCTTCCATAAAATTAATCGATTCTAGACTAATTCGACTCAACATTTCCAAAATATGTATAATTTTTTGGGAAAAATCCATATAAACTATGCTATAAACAAAAAATTGTAGGATTACTTACCGAGTGTGCACCGTTCAACTACGCTGTTGCTTAAGCTTGTTTTTGTCATGGAGATTGTCATCGAATGGCGCTCGCGTGCTTCCCAATAAATTATTTTTTTTGTGAAAAATTCGCTGAACTTTAGAGACATCATTAATATAAATATAATTTTTATGGACATTAAATAATAAGTGGTTTTTGGTAGGTCCACTGCTCATTTAAACTCAATGGTTTGTGCAATCCTGTTGCGACACGAGTTGACGATGACATTTTACCGAATTATAGGAGTTTTTTAGCATGTTTGTACGAATACTGTCGCAGTTTTTTTTGCTGTGATATAGGAATCCAAACTATAGGAACCCGTGTTATAGGGGGTCGACTGTATATATGCATTTAATTGTGTTTTATTAGATTGTAAAATTTATATGGATATTATATAATAAAATGTAGTATATAAAATATATTAATTTTGCTCATTTTTTCAGTATTATAAAAAGTTTNAAAATTGTGACTGTATTTGTATAAAGATGCTAAAAGAGACTCCTAAAATGCGGTAAAACGTCATTGCTGATTCATGTTGCGACAGGATTGGTTAAATCTGGACCAATAGTGGACAAGCAGCCAAACTACTTACATGCTATGGAGAGTTTAGGCGGTAAGTTGAGTTTACTATCATCTGTACAGTATGCAGGCCTAAATTAGGTACTGTAAGTCTAATACAGTACTGTAATTTTATACATTTCTTACAAAAAAAAACATTTCTTATTCAAAGGTCGTAAAAATTATTTCTATTAGTGATATCTCCAAAGTTCAATGAATTTTTCGCAGAAAAATAACTTATCAGAAAACGCGGCAGCCGTTTGATGCGCTGCTATGCGACAAAAACAAGCTTAAGCAATGGCGTGGTCAAACAGTGCACACTCGGTAAGTAATCCTACAATTTTTTGTTTATAGCATAGTTTATACAGATTTTTCCCAAAAAATTATACGTGTTTTGGAAATGTTGAGTGAAATTAGTCTAGAATTGAATAATTTTATAGAAGAAAACCTTTCAAACAGCCGTAGTCCATAAACTGCACACGTGCCGGGCTGTGATTGGCTCATGTATTTGAGGCTTCCTACAACGCGAAATTCTTATAAAGGAGAAACGTATCTACCACATTATAGGGGGTTGACTGTATATACATATATATTCTGTATAGTTACTAAGATATTTATTGATGTATTCATCAGTCAATTAGATTTATTACATCTATTCTTATTGATCAAGATTGTTTAATCAAATGATCTAAATAATTTTCATAAATAAGAAATGAGTAAACACCAAAAAATCTTTTCTAGAGAAATTTTCAATGATAGTATAGTCTATATTAGTATTTATTCTTACAAGAAATCTTGATTTAACAGAAGTCATGATTTTATAAGATAGTTTTAATATTTTAAAAACTTTGCATACCTATTCTGAATATTTTGAACTCTCACATCAAACAGTAAGCAGCTATTTTTGATAGACATGTACACTCTAAAAATAAAAAGAAAATTAAATGAACAATGACTATGGTAACTTTATAAATTTTAACAGAAATTGTAAAATGAAATAATTAATTCTGCTATTCATTATATTGAATCAAAATATAAATGAATTACCAACATACCTTAATTTTCTAGGACTGATGCATTGCTCTTGCTGTCTGATGCTGCAGATTCATTATCATCACTTTCAGCATCCTTCCAGATCAAATCATTTTCAGAACCATCCATAGAATTGGAAATCTGTTTTTCTTAAAACTCTCTCTCAATTATTGTTGGTGAAATTAATTTCCA